TAAGCCCAAAGAAACCTTGCTCATCTCGGACACTGTAGGTCTCTTCTCACCCAGTGATGTGGCCAAAACAGTCTTCAGGGATGCAGTGGTCTGTATTACTTGTCACTGTTTTCAGTTATTAGCTACAATTTATACATTTCAATTCTAATACAGTAAACTGTTGAAAGAGGCTAGGGGGTCAACCATCAGAAAAATTTAATTTCTAATATACTGTACATCTTAGTTGTCAACTAATTTTTGATAATTTTTGTGTACACTCTATCTTTATATGGAGCTCTTCTTCTAAAGAGATAATAATGGTGGCCACAACCACCCAGCCCTCTTAATCTGACAAATGCGCAATCCATTTCACTCTGAATTCCATCCTTAATTTTAATCCCACTTTACTATTTTCTCTGTTCTATGCCATGCTCAATCTGATCTCCTGACTATTTTGAAAAAAAAAATTGGCACCCTCTGCATGTCAGATTAGACATATTCACTATGCATCTTTCAATTTGATGCAAGAGATCTGGTTTTGTAGATACATTGGTTGATAATTTTAGTAACTACTGTAATATATATATGTTCTATTTGTACAGAATGGAAGGTTCCTGAGTTATGTAGGTATGGATGGTTGGTTGCTAAGCAATCTGTCCAGTGGAATGTCTCCGGCCACCTCAATTGTGGATTTACTTCAACAGGTACAATACATATTTTATCATTTTATCACATAACCTTTTTTTTATCTGATAGATTCCATGATTTTCCAATGTTTCTTTGAAAAATTTCATTTAAATAACTTTCTTTGATGTGTTTAAAAAAAATGTACATGAATCAAACATATTGACTTTTCTGCAAAAGCTTTTTGTCTGCTTTTAAAATGTGAAACTTCCCAATAACTATTTTATATTGAGCTTCTAATGTTTTTTATAATTTTCAGGTATTTACAATGGGGATTTTCCGCTTTGTTTGCCAGTTCTATTTGTTCCATTTTGACCGCATTATACGGAAGTGTAAAGAAGAAAAAGATTCCAAATTAAAATCATCTTAGAATCTTAATGTACAAAATACATTGCTGATACAGGCCATGTATGATAATTTTAAAACTGCTACGTGACTGCAAAGCTTATGCATATGTTATTTATTGAAATGATAAGAATACGTACACTCTATACAAATTTTGATATGTATACTTTTTTTCATTTTTATAGAAAAATAAAACATGCAATCATAGTAAGAAGTCTTTTTTGTGGACATAATTGATATATCTGCCCAAAATCTTTGATGATTTGTTTTGAATAAGGTTCTGACATGCAGTGACCAAATTAGCACATACTTTGACGATAACTGTGGTACTACTCTTTTGCAGGACAAATTAGTAAGTTTTGGCAAAGTTTTTGTTGATAGATAATTTTATGACCTGTGCTGCGTGTTATGCACATACAAGATAATTGGGTTTACAGCATATATCACCAAAATACATGTACATGTATATCATTTTGCCCTGCATGCAAAAGAGGAGTAGCCCAGTTTCCGAGAAATGGCCTATAACGTTTTTGGAATTCAAATTCATCATGAAAACTTATTCCTGTAGAAGAATACTTCCAGTCCGGATCAAAGAAAATTTAGGACTTTTGCCAGACTCGTTCAGATGTTGATGAAAAACAAAAATGCTTTCTGAAGCTTCCTATTTTCTATCAATTTACCCTTCAATTATTCAGTCATATATATACTGTACAAACTCCTCTCCTCTTTTAACAAACCAATTGTCATATTTTTTTTAAAGCAATATGAGCTGCATTTAGGAAAATTTTATTTTGCTTTTAAAATGTGTAATTATAATGAATTTGTATGTAACTTAAACTTTTATGATCAATTAGACTGAAATCAAGCAAAAGAAAGACTTCTAAATAAAATACAATATACAGTTTTATATCAGAAATCTTTATTGTACAGGACAACAATAATGTAATAGTGATTTAATTAAAGCTTATAAATAGTTCTTCCATCGCAAATATGAACAACAGAAGTTTATAAACGTTATTTTTTCTGTTATTGAAATAGTTATTTACAATATTCCAACAAAAAATTCCGACATCAAATTTGCAGCTCATATTGCTTTAAATTATTGTAACACAAGTGTAAGTCTATCCTTCCTACTGAAAACCCAAATATTGTAACATATTTGTAATGAGGCATTGGTATTGGTTTATCTGCTGGACAGCTTTAAGTACAGAATATGTCTTAACAAGGGCACTTCAAAGCAGAGCATACCCACACAACTGAGTATACCTATAAAACAAGGCAGCATTCCACATTGATCCTGATGTAAATTATGTAACTTAAGTTATGCACCAAAGGACAAACTAGTCCACTAACAAACTTCTATGGTCAGGTGCAAGAGGATAATAAAATTAAAATTTAATTTGCTTTTGTAACATTTATTTATATTGCAACATATTTTTTGGGTTTAAATTTATGTGTTGATCTCAGCACTGGGTGACAGCAGAAATTGTTTCCGTATAGAGTAATATAATGTCCATCAATTTCAAACATGAAAACACTGTTTCTCTTTGGAATGCCTAAAAATATAATGAAAGAAGAAAATTACAATTCCAGTCAGTTTCAAATGATAAAACTCAAATTTACTGAGGTTACACAATGCTAGAAATATTCTTAACATACAGTCAAACTTCAAAATCATGAACTCAGTGGGACTGTGAAAAAGCTTCAAGATATCCAAGGATTCTGTATATTGAAGTCAAAAAGGTGGTAGGGACATCAAATTCGCTTTGACATATCCATGTCATTCCAGGAGATATTGAAGTTTGAGATATTGAGGTTCAACTGTATATTAAAAAAAAATCATTGATTACTTTCTTGTAAAATAAGGACACTTACATTTAACTTGATTCTGTTTCGTAATAATTTTGAAGGTATTCTTTGTTTCCATAATAACAATACCAGTAGCACCAATGTAAGATGGACAACAGGATTTTGATACAGTTAAAAAACAGCCATGAAAGTCTCCTTTTAATATGTTTTCACAGTTGTGCTGATCAAAGGATCTGAAAAAAGAAATTAGAAATAAAACTTGCAGCTGTTGTAAAACTAAAATCTAGAGGCCACCTGTCCACTAACGAGAAGGATTTCACATCTCATTTTCCTCCAAACAAAAACATGCATTAAAATGTCAATTAACTTTTTCTATATCTGGTAATCAAATTGAAGGAGAAAAAGTGATGTGAAGATGTGCATGTTGATAAATTAATGCAGTTGTTGTTAAAGTAGTGAAGTCCAAATAATAAGTCCTGTAAAGTCCATCCTTTATATTTAATTGAATTAATTCATACAAAAACATTGCGGTACAAGTTCACATTCTTACTTGTTTTTATCTGTAAGTCCTAGTGTTTGCCTCATGTAATCTTTCCACAGTTCATGCATGGGGAGATAAGTCTCAAATCTTCAAAGATATAGAATATATATTTCATTAGACTTCAGCATTTTTATCAGCAAAAATACAAAACAGACACTTACTAACATATACATGTATTAATCCTTTATTAAAAATGTTGCTTACTACAAGCACAGACTTTTCTGGGAACAAATTTTCAATAGTATCCTAAGTGACAAGAAAATAAATTAAGTTCATGCAAATTCCTACTTCTGGCCTTCCTTTGGCAGGTCAAACAACTTCAACTTTCGTCGTTCTCGAGATGTAAGGCTCCTTTTCTTTGACACTGGCAGTGGCTTTTTCTTGGGGCGCTTATTATCCAAATTCTGCCTGAAGTGTTCTAGATTTTCTATTTCCCCTTTTCGTAACCGTTTTCTTGGAAGGTTTGCTTTTAAAAAATTACTAACAAAGTCCTCTTTTACTGTCTGCAAAGAATAAAACCTCAATCATCATGCTGAATATCTTTACAAATTTATAATATGAAATATATTGAATTATTATATTTAAAATGTTGAAGTTAAATTGCATTTAGGGATAACTACTTAGAAGAAAAATAAAAAAAATTACCTTTAAACCAAAGGTTCTAGCCTCTTCGCACACTTTGTTGTCTAATGGTGAGTACATGTTGTATTCTACAAGTACAAGCAAATTTTCTATCAGCAGGTCCAGTACAATCAGTACATTTAGCTACGTAGGTAGAATTACCTACGTAGCTTTATTTACCTACCTCAGGTAGCTTGATTTAGCTACCAAATGAATTTATTTCTATAAAAAAGCATTTTTCTCAGGATGTGCAAAAACTATCATTTTGATGCAGTGATCATTTTTCAACTTTGAACTCATCTGAAAACAATTCATGAAAAATTCCTTATTGAAGAAATGTCTTTTTCTGCGCAATTGCAATCAAAGTTTTGAAAGTTTTGGGGCTATGTATGACAGTTAGAGCAGTTACTCCTTGAATGAAATGACAAAGAAGTCCAGTTCCGGTTAACATGATAATAGGTCGGTAATTATTTAGCACAATGTAAAGTAATCATACTCAGTCATGCCTCACCGCACCTCACCGTATGGTCAGATAACCAAACAAAGGAATTAATGTTTTGCTCTAAATTGACCAAACACAGCGATGTTTAAACTATCTCTGCTTTGGAATATTTTTTAAAGTCTCCCTAGTAAAAATATCAATAGTCATTTAACTGCGATTTTTTTGTCTCTTTTCCATAAAAAGAAAAGTTACATTGAAATAGCTAAATAAAGCTACCTGAGGTAGGTAAATAAAGCTACGTAGGTAATTCTACCTACGTAGCTAAATGTACTGATTGTACTGGACCTGATCAGCAGTGCCAATATTTGTGAACGTGCCTTTTATTGTTGTACATAGAAAATCTATCTTTGATTGTCAAATATTGTTTTAAAAGTGAAAAATAGTTAGTTAAAAGTTACATATACAAAATAACGAAAAACTAACCCACACAGGGATTTAAAATTAAAATTTAAACCTCACTTGTGAAGTTGCACTGCACTTCTTTAATACTGGAACTCTTCAATAATGAAGATAGAAAAACTGGGGGATAGGCTAAAATGAGGTGCAACTGAGAAGAGAATTGCTTCTGAAAGAATGATTTTTAGGCAACTGTTTTCATTTATTGGAAAAGGTATAGAATATTATGGTTTTTGTAAAGCTATGTTTGTGTTATTATAGTTTGATTATGGAATACTTGGTGAGTAATTTGTGTTTCGCGGCTTTCCCCTTGTAGTCGTTCAAACGAAATGATATATGGAAACCTGTAACAGCAATTAGATTCTCCAAAACATTTCCCCTTCTTTTTCGTTCCTTCATATCAGTTGAAACGAGGCTGAAATTTGCCGACTCAGCGTGAAACAATATGCAATCAATCAATCAATCGTTCCTTCATTTCTTTTTTTCTATGCCCATCAGATGACTTCCTCCTGCAAGTCCAGGGATGATATCAACTCCAAATCTGTTTTGGATAGGAAGAAATGCAGTTCATACTAGCGGATTAAGAGGGGGTCCACCCGGTCCAGCCCCCTTTTTATGTCCAAAATATGCATATGATGTAATAAATCTTTTTTAGTACATATATGTGTGTCCCCCCTCCCCCTGAACCTAAAAGTGGTCGCCCCTTTCAAGAAGATTCCTGGATCCGCCACTGATATATTATGTACCTGGGTTGGGAATCTCGGAACCTCGGAACTCGTATTTCACTATCCAGGTCAGCTTTACCCACTGAGGTATCCGGCTGATATCGACGGTCCAAACTTTAAAACGAAGATAAAGAATTTCAGGAAATAAAACATTGTCGGAACCAGGGATGGGGTAATTGAAAAAAGTAATTGTAATTGACTGTAATTAATTACATTTTTTGAAGTAACTGGTTGTAATTTGTAATTGAACATTTTTTCAATTACTTGTAATTGTAATTTAATTAATTACACTGAAAAAATACCATGTAATTTCAATTACTTTTTCAATTACATTCAATTACTTTATATAATATACATTCATGATACATTGTCACCACGACCTCCCCGTTATACTGTCTTTTATTTTATTGCAAAACAAATCCTCAGTCCTTCAATTATACAGAAGACAGATTATTTTATAATTATAATGTAGTTTCTTTCTAATCATTATATGAAATTTGAACTTTTTTGTTTTATGTTTATTTAAATTTGCACCACAATTCTTAGGTCTATTCAGCTTTGAAACACACATAATTTATTATATTTCAGTCTCTGTTGTTTGATCAACCTAGAATAAGAATGTCTGTGTCAAGAAAAAAAAAGAAGAAAAGGAATGTGTGTGTCATTAATGAAGTTCTCTCTTATTGGTATTAAGAGATAATTGCCCTACAGAGCACAGCTGTAAATTGCAATCAAAACATTTAAATCAACCACTCTTAAGACATATTCATTACATGATTATGATGACAAAGCCAATGCATGGGGATAATTATTTCAATTAAAAATTCTCCACTAGTTTGAGAAAAGAAAAACTTTCAATTTGATAATTATTTTAACATCTAAACAGAATTTGATGAATGAATTTTGTATCTGAAAAAGATTTATTTTGTACAAGTATTATATGAATATGAAGTAAAATATTTTGTACAAGTATTATATAAATATGAAGTAAAAATGTTCAACATAAGTAGCAATTTAGGATGTTAAGGTTACCTTTAAAAGAAATATTTAATGTGAGGGGGTTATATACTAGTTGCGACTTAATTTACTGTATTAAAGAAAATGTTAATCAAATATCATAACCCAAGCAATTTATGTACATGTAGGTTTTGTGTGGAGGCAATTGAATCAAACTGATCTTGAATAGTTCTTTACTGTCATGTAAATAAAAGTCATGATTTAAACCACAAAGATACACTATGCCTACTAGCATATTATTTGTATTGTTTGTGCAGAGGCAGCGCTTATAGACAAGTGAATGATCCTGTATATTCATATGATTATAAAAAAAAAATTCAAAAATTGAAAATGTAATTTGTAATTTAATTAATTACTTTTGTAAAGTAATTGTAATTTAATTAATTACATGTCTTAGGAAGCCTGTAATTTAATTGTAATTTAATTGAAGAAAAAGTCAGAGTAATTGTAATTTAATTAATTACTTTTTAAAGTAATTGACCCCATCCCTGGTCACACTGCATTTAACTGCAGTGTAACGGAGAGAAAACCCGTGGGTTCCGACGATGGAAATAGAATTACACGTGGAAAACCATACATATGACATTAATTTGTGCTTACATGAAATGTTTAAGACAATGAATTAATTAAAGTATTTTTATTTGAACAGGTAGACGCGTTTTGAACACCTCAACTTTACAGAGGTTTTCCACTTCATGTAGTGTTGCCAACTCATTTGATGAAAACATTCTTAAAATTCTTGTGTGTCCACTCTCCAAAAAGCCATTAAGGTATTGTTATACGTTTTTGATAAACATTTTGAAAAATTAACGGTATGTAGATAATTTATGCTAAGTAATACTTTCATTAGATTGCAAAGACTTTCTTCTAACGTGAAGGAAAAATGTGAGTGTCAAGGATAGGCGGATTTTGTGCTTATATACTATGTGCATAAATTAAAATATGCATTTTGATAAGATTAAAAAAACGGTTAGTTATTGGTCAGCAGTAAGGTCACCATACCGGAAACGTGTGGATGTACATGTATACAGAAATACACATCGTCACATGTTCTTCCTAAACATTCACACACAACACAACGTGAACGTGCACGTGTTTGATTAGCAATGCGCGTCAATGGTATTTTCCAGTTAAAAATATAACATCTGTAACACTTTCTGCAGCGATTTATGAAGACTGTTTTAAGATTTGAACAAGGTTGTATTACATGTACATATGGTTGGTTTTAATGTAAATTTCACTTTAATTTCCACAGATATGACAAGGAAAAGAACGAGTTGATTTGTGATGATATTGGAATTGCATATCCGATTATCAACGGAATACCTAATCTTGTGCCACAAGATGCCAGAGTAATTAAATCGGATGCTGAAAAAGACAATGTAGATACCACAAAGACGAAAGAATAAAACACCTTCTAGACTTTAATTGTATAATAAATTCTGCCTTATTTCCTGTTTCGATATGTAGGATAATGTTTGTAGTTTATTATCAATAAATGTAATTTTTTGATGACGACAGCATTTTTTGATACTATAAATAGATTTTTGTAGTAAACAGACATTTCTTTTAGCTATTATAATTTTACATGTATACTAACCCTTAATCCCCCTCATCCCCAAAAGACGTCGGTGTTTATTTGAGCCGTCAAGTCTCGGACTGTCCTGAATATGATCCACATAATCTGTGTATGGGATACCCCTGCCCATGCACTTCCTTCGCTATACTACCATCACCTAATCTATAATAATCCACCCGAATGCAGTTTACTACAAACGTTTATTAGGAAGTCTCGGACTGTCCTGAATATGATCCACAAAATCTGTGTTTGGGATACCCCTGCCCATGCACTTCCTTCTTTATACTACAATCACCTAATCTATAATCAACCCGAATGCAGTTTACTACATACGTTTATTAGGAAGTCTCTATATACTAAAACCGACTTCCATCACGTTTGGCGATTTAATGCCATTATAAAGGGCCCTTTGCTTCTATAATTCAATCATTCCGTAGTTAAACGGTCTGTTCTGTTATTCTGCGCTACCCAGGAATACTAGTAGCTTATGCGAAAGACGAGTTTGTTCTGGAAGATGCTGAACATGCATGCGCGACAGAAACCAACAAATAAAGAGATTTTATGCCGAATGAAAAAAAAGATGAAGATAACGACAGTGATTAATCTATGAAAATCTCTATACTATATAAATATGCGAAGAGACTAAGCACAAAACGCTGAGGGGACCCCTGGAAATTTCAGAGGAGGGATCAGATGCCATGGCAAATTAAGCCATGTTGACCAGTAACACCCGCCGTGAGCTCTTTGAAATTCTCAGGTATAGACAGAACATTCCGTTGTCAAACTTGGAAAAATATACATGTATATATAAAGGTCCAACAATTGGTATGAAACAAGTCAGCCAAAATAAGAGCATTTATATTTGCTAACAAGAACATTATAACGACCAGAAAATTTACGAAATGCTGACTTTAAACGAGATTGCCGAAGTTCCTGTAACATCAACTTATCCCTCAGTATTATGCCTGGGTTTAAAGATCGTACCCGGATCAATTTGGAGATATATACACTATATGCATGTGATATCGGGATGTTACTATATAAATAAAGTTGACGATAGAAAAGCTAGTCTAAGAGTCATCTCATTTGCAATGTAATTTAGTTGGTCTAAGAAATAGTTATTGTATATTTATTATGGTGTATCCTGAGTTATTTGTACGAAGGGCGGTGACGAGTGCGAAGCACAAGTCTCCGCCCTTCGTCCAAATCAATCAGGATACACCATAATAAATATTCAATAACTTTCTTGTATCATGGCCAATCAAACGTCATGTCACAGATTTTCAGCATGATTTTTAATTACACCAATAGAAAATATAGTTTTTGTCAGGTGACCGCATGGATAATCTCTCCTTCCTGTCAGTATTTTTAATAAACATTTTACGTGCGTGTGTTCATGAGAAAGGACGTCTGATTGCAGCATTCCAGCCCCCCCCCTCCCGGATTTCCTTGTCAACTGTTTTGGAGGCCCCCTTTCTTTTAAATGTAGCTACGGACTTAAAGTGGCCGAGTTGTGATTCTAGATTTGTGATTATGTGCATGAGTGCTGGGGGCACCGACCTGGAGCCTCCCCCTTTCAAAAATTGCTGGATATCGATCCGCCCCTGGATTGTTAATGAAATTCTCAAGAAAACCTTTGAATATCAGAGAAGAAGAAAAATTCGAAGTTGAAGAAGGTAAATTCAAGTGTTATTCGAAAATCAAGAAAAAAAATACCCGTTGATCATTTGACATATTCGAGAGCTGTCGTATTCACGAAAACGCTGTGTCAGGGTGGGAGGTCAACATTACCGCTACATTGTTCAAAATTTCAACTCATTACCGCTACATTTTTCCAGATTTTTGACCGATCATTACCGCTACATTTTTCCGACAAAAAACAGCTCATTACCGCTACATATTGAATCAGCCAAAAACAACTCATTACCGCTACATATATCGATTTAGCCAGGTATGGTTCGGCATATGAGTTCTAATCAATAGAATTTGGACAGTGGTTGAAAGTTTTCTTTGGTTTGGGTTTTTTGGATCCTCGAGAAGTTGAAGAGTGCGTTGTGTTTGATGTTTTTGTACAATTTGGACATATGCTGATGTTGAGTGTGAAAGTTTTCATAAAGAATTCGGCACAATGTTTTATAGTTCACATCCGAGCATTTCTGATTTCATTTGGCGAAGATTCATGCTGTCCAGACAAAAAGTTACTTGAAAATGCGTGCTGCAAGAAACAGGATTCTCCTAGGACGAAAGGAGAACAACACACTGACAGCACAAAGAAGGGAACTGAAAGCTAAATACCACAGTGGGGAAATGACAAGGCAACAATATGTAAAGCAAATGGCTTTCAAGGCTTTACCGATAGTGTAAAAAAACATTTGACAAAAATTAGAATTTTATCTATGAACAGTGCTTGATTTTAATTTTTTTTTATTTTTTATGAAATAAAATTGATTTAAAAAAAAACATCCTGTTCCAAGTCCTACTTTCACCTCCCCGTGGTGAGCAGGGGAAACGGGTCGTATGCATTTATAAGTTGTACTGTACACTCATAAGTGACTGGCTAACGAAAGAGGCAATGTAGCGGTAATGTATACTTTTTTATGTAGCGGTAATGTAAGGTTTTTTGTAGCGGTAATGACTATGTAGCGGTAATGAAAATTTTGAAAATGTAGCGGTAATGATAAGCACCCGTCAGGGTCAATTACTCTTCATCTGTGGATGCAGTACAGCTTAAGCCCTATATTACAATAGATGGGATATTTTAATATACGGTATTTCTGTCTGGAATTCATGTCAAGAATTTGATTTCTAGTTACTGTGGATTGAATATTTGAAGAGATCCGTAAAATCATTTCGTAGTTCTCTTAGGGATACTGTAATTTATGTGAAAGACTTTTATTTCACTTGCAGAAATTTTGCATTTGTACATGTATATTACAAAGCCCATTCATTCTGTAATTCAGATTCAATATACATGTAAATTAAAATGATGAAATCGCCTTGGTGTTCAATAATTTATTTACACGGCACAGTTTTGGCTGGCTCCGCCCATCGGTGTATCTCCATTTATTGTACACTTGACTTCAAAGGAAAAACACCGTAGCCATGATACAAATATTATCTATAGTCAGTAAAACATCCAAATATGAAATAGATATGGTAGACTCCTTGGAAGTAACTTTATTGTTAATTGATACTGGGGTAATACTTTTTCGATATACATGTATCTAATGTCGAGTTGAAGGTCACATCATGCGTTTTTCTTCAGTTCGCATGCTTCATGGAATGTAAAACACATGTAATTATGATATTATGCTTCATCAGAATAGTTAACTGGAACATTTGTCTTCAAATATTTTAATACTATCGGTATTATACAATCACCAGGGGCCAGTTTTACTAAAACGTCGTAAATTGTAAGTCGTAAGACTTAAATTTTCCAAACGTACTACTTACGACCTTTTGTAAAACGGGTCCCTGAGTCTGGGGCCCGTTTTACAAAAGAACTTACGACTAAGACCAAAAACTTCAGATTGTTGTAAAATTTTGCAAAATTAACAATTCTCTTTGAAATTGTCAATGTAAAAATATCTTACCACATTCTTTTTAAAGAGTTTAAAATAATTTTCGATATAATGTTAATTAGGCCTAAAAAGTTATATGAATAATTAAAACTTGGTTTTAAGTCGTAAGTCCTTTGGTAAAACGGGCCCCTGGTTTTTAAACAGTATAGCATTTTTAAATGAATTAATTTGAAGTGATTATTTATTAAGTTACCATACTTTTATTTGTCATTCAAAACATCAGTAAAAAATACTGAAAATGTATACAAATATATATAGGCCAATAAGACCAATGGAACGATTAATTTCGTTGACAAGTAAGTAATATCTATAGTTGGTTTTAAGTAAAAAGAGTATCACTTGTTCTGTCCCTAAAAATGAGTAAAAACGGTATACAGGTGTATATAAATGTCACTAAAATATGAGACAGGTTGAATACACCGTCCATCTTCTTCCTGCTCTTTCCATCATATTAATTGGTCTATTGAAACTAGAGTCCTATGACGTCAGTCTCGAGTCCCCGTTCCATAATTAGCACCACCAGCCTTCATTATTTCTTCTCTAATAAAGTCTTCATTTAGTTCTGATTTCTCATTAATCATGAGTTCTACGGCATAACTCTGTAATTAAAAAATGTAAAATTTTACGTATATCATAAATGAGTAGAATATACAGTATATACATGTATATTATTGTGCGCCATGTATAGGTGCTGGACATTGACGCTATATACATGTGTATATCACAGGCACGTAGCGCCATATACTTTTACTATTGAAAATGTGCATTGAAAGGCTGTTGACCCCCCCCCCCCCCCCCACTTTATACAAAAGTAAAGTAATATGAAGGAAATATAGTATTGTAAACTTAAAAAATGGTTATTGAAAGGAATTGGTAGTACGAAAAGTTTGCCTCTGTCCCCCCCCCCCCCCAACTTTCAAAATCGATGCTACGTACGTGCCTGTATCAAATATGTTTATCTTAAAAAATGTCAGATATTTAGGTGATATGGATATCGATTATATAAATAGATTACGTACACGTATAACTTCTTTTACTAAGGATTTGTCAGGGCCCATTCTCGCTCTTTTTATTCCAGACACATTTTTACCCAACCACACAATTAAGGCAAATTTTGCTCTTTTACTCAGTTCATCGCCTGCTACCACACGTAGAAAAGCATAAACTCGATCGTCATCTGTGGAAAAAAATACTTATATATACAAATGGGAAGTTTGGTAAATTCTTGATTAATCATCATTGGTTAACATTGAAAGACCCTAATCATTTATTAAGTTCCACGGTCGCGTCAAAGTGCTCTATACTTTGATTTAAGAGAGAAAAAAATGAACAAATGAAAATTTAATTGAGTTCTTGAGCAATGAAAATGTACGTCGTATATATGGAAAAGGATGTGGTATTTCATTGTTCGCACATTCCTGTAATGAATGCAAAGTAAAACTGTTGTTAAAATTTTGGAGTATATTCTTCTTATATATGTCAATGTTACAATCCCGGGGTAATTCCTTTTATACATGAAATTGTATTTTAAAGATGTGATTCACTTACCGCTAAAATTGGACGCAAATTCTTCAAAACTAGACCCAGTAGCGCTCAATACAATATTTGACCCATCATACTTCATTACCGCCCTAACAAAAAATAATTATATATTTTTAAATCCCATATGTGTTTTTTAAAATGAAATTTTAAAAAGGAATTCAAAGTTCATTTCAACACCTTCGGTGCTTTACCAGACTAATCACTTAGTCATCGGTTCATCGCCGGTTTTCAATGTGATCATTTTAATCCTGTAAAAGAATACTTAAATGCTTGTCAATAATTGAATTGTGAGAAATTTGAAATGAAGATTAGTGCGTAACTGACTTACCAGTTAGTATCATTGCTGTCGTTTCGGACCTCTTCATAAGCGTCTCGAATTGCCTGTTTGTCTATCTTGGCCATTTTTCTATAAAAATGTGACACCGGCTTAGTGGGCGTATAAACGTGTTTACCTGTATAATACCATAAAAGGAAGTGAAAGAGGTGAGAAATTGTCAGGGATGATCTCAAAATCAGTTTGTCCTGCGAGTCATTATTATTAAAAATATTTTTTTTCTAAAACAGATAGATACATATTACACTTTTATTTGAATTAGATTATAGAACAAAATATTTTTTTTCTAATTTAGAGCCCCGAACAAACGAATATGAAATGATTACGATAATCAGGGGGAAAAAAATGCAATAAATGGAGAGATTAAAAATATTGTAGTAGTGTAATGTTCAATATTTTACTTTTATATAAAATAAAGTACATGTGTCAACAAAAAAAAAAAAAAAACAACCTGTGAAATATATAAAGGCCCAAGCACCAAACGTTCGGAAATTATGAGTAACGTTTTTCCAAGTTTTTCAAAAGTAAAAAACTTCAAAGTCGAGACCTAAAGGTAAAAAAAAATAATGGCACCATTACATGTGGAAGATATAACTTGTCTTTAAAAAAAAAAAATAAGAAATCCAAAAACACTTTCACCAACTGTTCAAAAGGTATTACCATGATTAAAGTTTTAGGTGAAACTACGAAAATATTTTTTCCGTATACAAAGAAAGAACTTGTCCCAAGAAATTCACCTGTGAAACACCATTGTCTTTGTTTGTAAGGCTTTTATATTTTATAAGAACTTGGAGTTGATTCTAAAAGTGGTAATCGAACTTATATCCATAGTTCCCTTTCTAAGGAAGACATTCTTTAAAATCATATGTCAGTTTTGAATATTTTTAATATCCCGAAGAACCAAAATGAATTTGAACTACCATATATATATTGGATTCCGAAAATTCATAAGAATCCTTACAAAGATACTTTGCGGGTTCCAGTAAATGAACTTCAACCAATGTTCTTTCTCTTTACTCCTCACTAACATATTGACAGTAGTGAAGGACAAACTTCAAGAGTACTACTGTGCAACAATATATTCAAGAAGTGGTGTGAATCAGATGAGGATACTCAAAAATTCCAAAGAACTTTTGGACAGTTTGAAATCACAAGAATTTACCAAAATCAACAGCTTATTAAAAATTTACGACTTCTCAAATTTATACACAACCATTCCCTATGATAAATTAAAGTCCAGGTTTTTTTTTTATCAATGAAAGCTGCTTAAAAAAAAATTGCAAATTTACTTACCTGGTCATTACATGTTATTTGCAAAATTATTTTGTTAAAACACATTCTGATTGCACACACAAGTACTCTGAATTCTACCACGGTTATTGAAATCTTCATTATTTTGTTCATCAAAAAATTATCAGATCAAAACGCGTATCAAATCTGAACAATTCAAATGCATGTTTGGCTGTAGAATGAAATACTTGATTACACATGTGTCGTCTTTTGCAGTATAAACACTGTAAATTGCATCAAGTTGCTGATGAATGTCGGTTTTTATAGCTAAGCGGGGCTATTCCACGGACCTCCCTACACATTAAACAACGTGATTTTTGCAGTAAAACAAGAACATGATTTTGTTTTTGTATATTCATTTTAACTGATCAATACATATTACGAACAAATTTGTAATTAAACAAGACTGTTTTTAATGCAAGGAAAGCTCAAATATCTGCATTCCATATATAGGTAAGTCAACAAAATTTCTCTCTGGTGTTAAATAGAACAGCGTAATCGAGACATGGTGACCTAATTCGTTTCTCTATAGAGGAAACAATCGGCCGTATTTATCGTCCGTGGTAGAATAGAAATAAAGTCCTTGTTGTCGTGAATGATGCAGAATAACCTCCTCGGTCTCGAAATGTTGTTTGAAATATAAAAGCCTCGGCTAACGCCTCGGTTTTTATATTTCAAACAACATTTCTCGACCTCGGAGGTTATTCTGCAACATTCACGAAAACGCGGACTTTATTTCTTAAGTTGACATCAAAAAGATGCTTGAGTTTCTGTTTGACAATATCTATATGGTTTTTGGAGACCAGGTCTTCTAACAATCTATTGGAATCCTCATGGGTACCAATTGCGCTCCGTTATTAGCAGACCTATTTATGTATTCATATGAAGCAGAAATTGTGCAAAATCTCATGCATGATAAGAAGAAAACACTTGCTGTGGCCTTCAACTCGACATTTAGATATATCAACGACGTTTTGTCAACAATGGTAATTTCCATTCCTATGTGGATACGATATATCCTGGTGAGCTTGAGATAAAAGATAACACAGAGTCTGACACATCTGTTTACTTGGATATTTTACTTGAAAAAGACGTTAATGGTGATCTAACAACCAAGCTCTATGATACTAGTAAGTACTTCCCTTACTTATGCAGCAATATCTTCATCACCTGCATACGGAGTTTATGTATCTCAGTTGATTGGATACGCAAGAGCATGCTCTACGTATGAGCAATTTCTAAAACGAGTTAAATTATTGACAAACAAGTTTATGAAACAAGAATATCAGCAGTCTCGTTTAAAAGTCATCATTCCGTAAGTTCTATGGTCGATACAATGACCTCCTCAGCAAATACAGTTTATCATTGAATCAAATGCTGACTGATGTTTTTCGTATTAATTGTTAGTCCATTATTTATACACTGAATTGACGACATAGGCGTCGGAACGGGGTGGGGGATGGGGGTGGGCTTAGCCCAGCCCACTTCTTTTCTGCAAAGATAGGCATTATATTGGCATCAGAAATTGGGATTTACCTTTTTTTGGTTTAGCCCCCCATCCCACTTTCAATTAGCCCCCCTACTTTTAATTTTTCCGACGCTTATGGACGACGGATTTTTCCGTTTTTTTTTCCGATCATGACGAGAAGCACACGGCGTGTGTGACCGGTCGGCAGGGGATGTTCACTCCTCCATCACACCTGATCCCACCTTTGATGTTTTGGAGGTCCGTGTTTGCTCTGCTCCTACTTTGTATTGTTTTATGGACTTTGAGATTGAATACTGATCGTTATCATCATTGCCTTCGCGACTGGTAATTTGACTGCACAAACATCAATTTAAATTTTAACCATTTTCCTGTTTCTTTCTTTCTTTTTAAAATTTTTTTTTCACAACCAAAACCATTTTTGAGTTTGACATTTGTTACAACTAATTCCACCCCACCCTCCACCTGTGAGAATATGTCCTGAATCCGCCCGTGGCTTGCGGTCGATCCATTTGTTGTAATAACAAAGTTTGACACTCTCCCTACAGAGATGCTACGAGAGGCTTAATTATTTCACAGAAATTCAGACATGATAATCCACATTTTTTTATCGATTGAACTAAACAGAAACACCATTTTATTTATCAATATTATGGAAGAAATACAAAATAAATTTTAGAACATTAAATAGAAAGAAAAAGAACGATACAAATCAACCAATCCACTTTTAAGCAGTTTCGTATAGTTGCGCCGTAATGATTACTCCGTAGGTCAAGGTTCATAATGGCTGCGCCCATGTTCAACATGGGAATATGACATTAAGCCGCATTATTATGATTATTTGCAGTAATCATGTAAATTATCCGTAAAGAGTAACAACGTATGTTCTTTTGGTGAAAACGTATGTTCTTTTGTCACCGATTAAAATTATTATTTACGCCTGGTAGCAATATAAAGAGGAAAATGAGCACTTTAGTCTCCATTGTCAACCCTTGCACAGGCAAACTGGATTGGAAATTACAAGATGACAGTTATGATTACCACCAAGAAATTGCAAGGTAAGAATTTGCTGCATTTATCACGAAGAAGTATGTTTTTTAAAATAACATCTTAACTCTTCAATTTCATTTTTTTGAAAAATTTAATTTATTAATTTATAGAATCGGACTCGGTGTATGAGATGATTACCAGACACTTGAAAATGTAAATAGATCAATATGTATTTTTTACATTAGGTCTGGATATGCTGACATGCTCCATGATACAGAAAGGGTATGTAGACTCTTTACATTTTGAACTTTAACGCCTAAAAATTAACTAATTTTAAAATATGGATAAAATGGGGCTTCACTAAATTTCCTTGATAATTCAATGCTGGAAAAGGACACATGAAGAAGAGATAAAATGGGGAGAGGAAGGGAGGCAGGAATAAAGATTTTTAGGAATCTAACTAGGAAAATAAGTCTAACTTAGGAAACTAAGTTATCCATTGTTCTTGAACTTCTGATTCACACATGATTGTAATGATGATTGGAATCTGTATATTATTTATTTTATTTTTAGAACAAAAAATACTATGCTGCATTAGAGGAGGCTATCCAAATAAAAAGACACCTAGGAGAACCAGTTCACGTACTAGATATTGGGACTGGTACTGGTCTCCTCTCCATGATGGCGGCTAAGCTTGGAGCTGACTCTGTGACCGCCTGTGAGGTACCATCATTGAAATAAGTGATTTTTATCAACTCAAGCTTTTTTATTGTAAAATCACAGTGCTTAAATGTTGAATTTTTTTCCAGGCATTTGAACCCATGGCAAAATGTGCCAAAAAGATCATCCAGCAGAATGGATTCGAAAATAAGATCAGGTTAATTCCAAAGCGATCAACAGATGTCACAGTTGGTGCAGGTAAATTAAAGAACCTTTACTTATTTATGTACATTTCTTATTATACATCAAATCTTTAACAAAGGAGGGAAAACTAAGTTAGAAATGTGAAGGATACATGTACAATTTTAAGATTTCTAACAATTTATTCACTAGTATTAGTTCACCTGAGTCAAAGGCTCAAGTGAGCTTTTCTGATCACATTTTTTCTGTCTCTCCATCCATCTGTAAACTTTTCACATTTTCGACTTCTTCTCAAGAACCACTGGGCCAATTTAACCAAACTTGGAACAAAGCATCCTTGGGTAAACAGGAGTTCAAATTTTTTTAAAAGGAAGGGCCAAGTCCCCTCAAAAGGGGAGATAACAAAAAAAAGACAGAAATATGGTGGGGTCATTAAAAAATCTTCTTTCCAAGAACCAGGTGGGCCAGAAAAGCTCAGGGATCAATGTAGGTTTTGGAGGTTAAAGTTGACAACAGACAAACAGATAAACAGAAAGGACAAAAACAATATAAGCCCCGATCTATCGATCCATGCACATAAAAAAAATATTTGAGCTTTTTATCATTGAAAGGGGAATTTTTTCACTCATTAAGAGGGAAAATGGGATATTATGGGGAAATTTTCTCTTGGGGAAAAATACCAAATATCAGTAGTAAATATGCCCAAGATTAATCCCTGAACCAGTAACTTACATAGAAGCATCCTGGGGTAGTGTAGATTCTAAATTGTTCAAATTATGACCCCCAGGGGTAGTGCGAGGCCACAGTAGGGAATCCAAGTTTTACATTGAAATAAATAGGAAAAAAATTAAATCCTTAAAAATAGGAAAAATCTTTAAAAATCTTCTCAAGAACTACTTCAGTCTTGGCCAGTAAAGCTGAAACTTATGTGGAAGCATGCTGTGTAGATTCTTTATTGTTCATATCATGAACGCCGGGTGAAGGGCAGGGCCACAATAGGGAATCCAAGTTTTACATTGGAATAAATAGGAAAAAAATTGAAATCTTCTCAAGAACCACTGTCCCAAAAAAACTGAAACTTATATGGAAGCATCCTGGAGTAGTGTAGATTCTAAATTGTCCAAATTATGACACATGGGGTAGAGTGGGGTCACAATAGATATTACAAGGGGGAATTCTTGTATAGAACAGCATGGCCAAAGCTACACAGGTGAGCAAGATGTGGCCCATGGACCTCTTGTTCAAGGAACATAATGAATTAAATTAAACAAAAAGAAACCTTTCAAGATTGAATTAAAAACTGGTGTATTATAGATGGGGACATGCTAGAGAGAGCTAATATACTGGTTACAGAAGTATTTGATACTGAACTGATTGGAGAAGGGGCCATCAACACATTTACTCATGCACACAAAGAACTTCTGAAGGTGGGAGGCATAGCAATGTCTTGTACATTAAATTTGGAAATTCAGTAAATGTATTTGTAAAACACTAGACATTCATGCTTGGTAAGAACACAAGAAATCTGTACTGGACGCAAATGCATGTACAGTGAAACCTGTCTAATCCGACATGCTCTGAAATTAACAGGATGTTGGATTTCACAGTGTTAAAAACATGGAAAATTGGTAAACTAGGAAAAAATTTAACATTAGAATTCACAGTGTTTTGAATTATTCAGATGTCGGATTACACAGTTTTCACTGTACAATATTCAAATTTTTTCTGCAGAAGAACTGTATAGTTGTCCCAACCGATGCCAACATGTATGTGCAGGTGGTCAGCTCAGACTTTATCCGGAGATGGAGGGACATTAGACCCGTAAAGATACCAGGTTGCGAGGACATTGTCCCTCCTCCAGAGATGACCAGCTGTGGAGGAGCACCTGCTCTACATGACCTTCAACTTCATGAGCTCCCACAATCCCTCTTTCAAGTCCTTTCTTCACCTATGAAGGTTTTTAGGTATAGAGAAATTATTCATTAATTTAATTGAAAACATAAATAAATTATTTATTAAGTTAAAACAGCAGATATTGTAAAAGGATGATAGCTTCTTTTTATTATAGTAGAAGATATTTGTTTAAACTATGAAAAGGAATCTTATTTGACTTGTCTCCCTTTTACAAAATAAAGTTTTCAAATTTCCACATCATTCTCCTAAAAAGATATTCAAAATGCAACATAGAATTCTACTTGTAATCCTTTTATCAAATTTCTCCTTAGATTTGATTTTAGTGGAAATTCTCCTCTGAAATTCGAAAACCAGTCTGAAAAGACATTTGAGGCATTATGTGATGGACAAACAGATGGAGTTTTGATGTGGTGGGATCTAGAAATGGATACCAAGAACAAAATCAACTTGAGCTGTGCTCCTGGTTGGGCCCATCCAAGGCCTGAGGAATTACAGGCAGGCAATATTTGATTTAATGCAATTCATGATGATATGTTTACTGTCATGAGTAGACTGTTAAACTAAATGTTGACATCTAGAGTACATGAAATTAAGTCGGTATTATTATGCATGGTTTAATAAAGTGGTCATTATCATCAAGAATGGTATCAATTTGGTTTATGTTTCTATTTTTACTCAGTGATTATCATCAAGAATGGTATCAATTTGGTTTATGTTTCTATTTTTACTCAGTGATTATCATTAAGAATTGTATCAATTTGGTTTATGTTTATATTTTCACTCAGTGGCGGGACCATTGGATGCAGGCCATCTTCTACCCAAATCAGCCTCTTTCAGTGCAGAAAGGTGAAAATGTGAAGGTCATAAGCAACCATGATGAATACAGTTTGTGGTTTAATGTGCAGTCAAAAAACAGGTATTTAACAAACATTTTGGGTTTAATTTAAGGAAATTAGCAGGAGTATAGATACATGTATTATTTTTTTTTTATCTATGCTGAATCATAGAAGGAAAGAAATCATAATTTTCTTCAAGTTTTCAGTATCAGTATTTTTATTGTTTCAAAAACATTCATACCGGTAGACCAGTATTTGTAACTATTTAATAATATTTATATATAATGAGATAAAGAATATAAAAAAAATTCTGTAAAGTACTGTAGAAGCACATATTTTCGTGGAGATAAAATTTCGTTGATTTGTCATCAAAAATAGTTTTGTTGGCATTTAATTTCGTTGTTTTGAATGTAATCATATTCAATATATAGTCATATAAAATTTTGTGTGGGATTTAATTTCGTTGATAATTGTTAACAACGAAATAAACGAAATTTAATCCCCCACGAATATTTGTGCTTTTACAGTAGTTTATATTTTTTATAAACAATATCTCTGAGAAAATAAAGTTTACTTATAAATGACTGAACAAAAACAGAAACAGCAATTTAAACATGGGACCAGCATGTACCTGTGGAATGCATGTCACCTATAGCAGGTCACAGATAGGAATGTTGAATGATCCTCATCGGAAAGATATCTACTACAATCTCTTAAAACAGGTATATTCAATGTTTGATTTACATTTATGTTTTTAAAAATAAATTCAGAACATCATCAGAAACTAACAGGCAGATAAAAAGAGCATCAATATTTTGGAAATCTAGAATATTCAGAAACAAGGTACAGTTAAACTTGTTTAGTACGAACATGGATATTTCAAATTCACAGATATAGTTAAATTATCTTGGATCCCCAGCAATACTAATTTAAAGAATTCCTTATACGGATATAATGAATTATGGAATAGGATATAGCAAAGTAATATCATTAGTCCCAGTGACTTTGTTATAACCAAATTTTACTGTTACAATATTACCATTCAGTAATTGCTCAAACAATACCTTATTTTTCTAATGGAGAACTTTAAATTCTAGCTCTTTTCAGTTTATATAATTTTTTTTAGAATGTAACAACAGACTCAGTTATCATGACCATATCTGACGGCAGCCTTCTACCATTGATAGCAGCTAGACTTGGGGCCAAAAAAGTGAGCTATGGTCCTTCAACTCCTTTTGTTGGGAAAGATACAAATAATCTGTTACTAGTATAAATATTTATAGAATGAATGTCAGCTGTTACAATTTTATTTTTGACTTTTATTTAACATTTGAAGGTATTCGCTTTGGAGACAAACAGTCTAACAAGAAGGATCCTGCAGCAGTTTATAAAGCACAATGGCCTTGAGGACAGGGTCACAGTTCTAAGTAAAGAGCCTGAGGAAATTACAGAGGAGGATCTAGAAAATTGCAAGGTGGGGATCGTCAGTGTTGGAATGATGCTTGAAATAATTGTATATCTAGGATTTGGTGTTACATTTGAAATGTTCACAGCTGTTTGATGTTATATTTGGAATCATATTTAAAAAATACATGTGAACAGATTTTAATTAGATATGTTAAGAATGTAAATTCTGAAGATTTCATTGTTAAATATTTACATTCGCTGTGTTTTTTTTCTAGTAAGCCAACTGCGAAATTGATTTGAATACTGTAGAAGTAATTTTTTCCGCGTGGTATTAATTTACGCTAATTTACACAGAAATTATGAGGCTATTTAAACGTTAGCAAAAATATAACAATATGGGGCACCAAAAAATTCAAATATTGAGTATATTTTGGTGCTCTTAGACATGTAAAATGTAAGTATAAGGAATGTTTTTAAGTTTATTGTGAATTATTGGTGTATGAATCACACAGACTTACATGTCTAGTGAGCTTCCTGAAATATGCCTATGTGACAAGTCTGTATGATTCACACACCAATTACTCACACAAAACTTAAAACCTTTTCCTTAAATATCAGTTTTGTGCAAAATTGTAAGATTTGGAGAAGAAGGAATAAATTCTTAAATTAAATTGTAATTGTGTTTTGATGCAAAAGTTGAGTTTTAGTGTGTACCTTTAATTTTATTGTAAATGTAACTTTTTCCTAGATTGATTTAGTGGTAGGAGACCCATATTTCCAATCAGCTGTGTTGCCATGGCATCATGTTCATTTCTGGTATGCTGCTAAGCAGCTCTCCAAATTCCATTCTGTTAAAGCACTGGAGTTACCACGGCAACTGACAATTAAAGCAATGGCTGTCTGTTTCCAAGATCTGTGGAAGATTAGATCACCGGTGGGACTGTGTGAGGGATTCAACATACAACTTTTTGATGAAATGGTTGAGGTATTCTAACTTTAATTCTATACATTGTATTTCTAAGCTCTCATCAGATGCTCATTCATCATCTTGTAAACATCCTGTAAAAGCAAAGTTTTAGCAAGGAATTGATTTGCCATGTTTCTTAACATTATAAAATCAATGAACTTATTTCTTGATAAAAATATATTCTTTTTTTTTGGATAAATTGTTAAAGAACAAGGTTCACCTTGGGCCTCTGTTGGCCTTGTGAATTTCTGAAAAATCAGAACTGCTCATTTTTAGCTGAAAATATGTTAAATTTCAGTTGGACCCTTGGTGACTTCAAATCAAATAAATATGATATAATTTTTTTCACTTGTCCATGTATTATGACATCATGAATTGCGTCATTTTCCTCAAACCTTGAAAATTTCTTTTAAAAAGGCCAACATTTTAAGCCGTTTTTGAATATTTTGCATAGCCCCCAACCTCTGATCTAAAATGTTAAACTCTATAATAAAAGAACTGTGTTGGAAGATTCTAATCCATTAAACAGTTGTTGGATCGTGGGGTGGACTCATATTTTAATCAATAGTTGACGATGCTCAAATTCACTCATTTTCTTCAAAATTCAAGAACATTGTAGTTTCACATAGCCTGCATGAGTATAAAAACTTGGAATCTCAGAGGATTTTTTTTATATGAATGAAAGCACTAAGTCTCCACATTATGTTGATGTTCAAAATTGGACGTATTAGGACTTGGTCAGTTCATTGGTATAACGACTGGGCCATTTTATGGATTTAGTGAACCTACCTCTTTGCATCTGGCTTAAATTACCACTTACACTGTATATACAGTATCTTGCTTCACCTAAAATATAGTATTTTTTTAAATCAAAAGAAAAAAATATATATTTATGTTTTTATTTGTATGAGTTATGGTGGCATATTTCTGCCCCCTACATGCAAGATAAATTATGTTAGCATGCAACTTAAGTATCTTGCATGTTCACATAATATACTTGCAAGTTCACATAAATAATTGCATGTCTACATAATTAAATCGCACGTTGACATAAATATCTTGCATGTCTACATAATTATCTCACATGTTAACATAAGTAGACTGTATCTTGTCATAATTATGTTGCATATACGATATCAGATACAGGCTTACGTGCGTGATTTTAACCATATTAAAAACAGATTCTCATACAAGATTTGTAACTTGCATGTCAACATAATTATCTTGCATGTAGACATAATTATCTTGCATGTTGACATAATTTTCTTGCATGTTAACATAATTTATCTTGCATGTAGGGGGCAGAAATATGCCACCATAATGAGTAACAAAAGTCATACCAAGTACCTAGCTGGTACCTATAGTATTTATATTTTTCATTTAAATTCACTGTCTTTAAAACTGTATCTCAGACACAATTGACACAGAGCAAAATACATTACTGTGTGTCTAACATGTAATATTTTCCCCCAACACTGCACATCAACAATGAAAATAAACAAACTCTTCTTTATTTGATGGTTTGATGTTTTCCCTTTATTTAGGCCTCTGCTGAGGTTTCAGACAGTGAAATAGAACCCCAGCCCCTGTGGGAGTACCCCTGTACGGCTTGTAGTGACCCTGTCACGGTTCAGTCATTCAGATTCAGTGAAGTATCAACGATGACCTACGAATCCCAGTACTCTGACATCTCTATCAGACTGGACACTTCACGGTAAGATTATTTATAGCATGTTTCTTAATACTGTAAAATCACACATTTTCTTGGGGTCAAATTTTCGTGGTTTGAGGAAAAACTCTTGGTTCGTGGGGATTTGAATTTGCGGATGAAGAATTGCTTAGTATTTAAGAAAGTAACATTTTACATTTCATGGAGGATATTAATTCATGGGTCTATTCATACCTCGAAAACAACGAAAATAAAACCCCCTCAAAAATTTGTGATTTCACAGTACCCTCACTCCGAAGGAGAAAGGGGTAAACTGTTTTACCTTTGTGTGTCTGTCTGTGTGTTTGTTCATAACAAGTTTTTGTCAGTTTCTTGGCACTGTTTTTCCATGACTAATGCTCTGTGATTCGTTTACAGACGTGGGAAGTGCAATGGGATTGTATTGTGGGCAGAATACCAGTTTACAGATGAACTTACAATTTCTCTGGGACCAAGAGAAAAAGTCATTGTGGGTGAAAAAGTTGAATGGGACTTCTATAGTAAACAGGGTGTTCATCTCCTGATGAATAAAGGGAAAAGTCTGATAGAAAATATAGAGACCATAAATGTATCATTGACTTTTGTACCCATAAATGCGGATTTTGACTTCACTTTCAAGACAGTAAAATCATGAGAGTCCATCATAAATCTTACTTGAACATGTGTCCTGTGTAAAATTTAAATTAATATGTCAATTATTTATGTTCAATTTTTGTTGTTTGTTATGCTGCAAACATTTGAAGCTTATGAAGTGACATCACAGGAGGATAGAAATACTTAATGACAGTAGGTATTTCTATCCTCCTGGGATGTTATGTTTTTTTTTTTTTTACATAATCAGTCTTCACGAAAACTTTTCAAACTAAACTGGCCAGTCGGACCAGTGAACTTTCAAAATATACTTGCCCACCAAAATTTTTACTGGTCCCTTTCATAAAAAAATAAAATAAATACATTTTCATAACTGTAAATTTATACATGTTTACGTACTTCAACTTTTGAAATGCCGCCATTTTTCGCGTTTCGGTAAGTTGTTCGTTGGAACTTTGCATATTTTACGTACTAGTTAATAATTACTAGCTACTTCCGGTTGTTACGTAATACATCCATGTTATAATAGGGTTATAATAATTGGATTCAACAACACGAGCTTCTTCTTTTTATTTTATATATTAATGAAATTTACCCAAGTAAGTCAGTTGAAATAAATTTTGACTGTATGATTTTTATGATCAACAAGCCCATCGGACTTCTTGAATTTTGATTTTCACTGAGCCGACCTCAAAATTCACTGGCCTCGGTCTTCGGACCAGTGAGTTTTCGTGAAGACTGCATAATTTTTATGCCCCCCTTCGAAGAAGGGAGGGCATATTGCTTTGCTGCTGTCTGTCGGTCCGTCGGTCTGTCGGTCCACTTAGTTTCCGTTCATTTTCTTCGCAACTGTTGCACATACTGAAATGAAATTTGGTATACAGATATATCACATGAATATCTAGGTCAAGACCTGTTTCGGGTACGATCGCACCATTTTTCACAGAGTTATGCCCCTTGGACTTAGAAAAATTCCAATTATTTGCAGTTTCCATTTATTTTCTTTACAACCGTTGCACATACTTTGATGAAATTTAGTATACAGATATATCACATGAATATCTAGGTCAAGTTCTGGTTTGGGTAAGTTCGTGCCATTTTTGACAGAGTTTTGCCCCTTGGACTTACAAAAATTCCAATTATTTGCAGTTTCCGTTCATTTTCTTCACAACTGTTGCACATACTGAGATGAAATTTAGTGTACAGATATATCACATGAATATCTAGGTCAAGTTCTGGTTTGGGTAAGATCGCGCCATTTTTGACAGAGTTATGCCCCTTGGACTTAGAAAAATTCCAATTATTTGCAGTTTCCGTTCATTTTCTTTGCAACCGTTGCACATACTGAGATGAAATTTAGTACACAGATTTATCAGATGAATATCTAGGTCAAGTTCTGTTTTGGGTACGATCGCACCATTTTTCACAGAGTTATGCCCCTTGGACTTAGAAAAATTTCAATTATATGCAGTTTCCATTCATTTTCTTTGCAACCGTTGCACATACTGAAATGAAATTTTGTATACAGATATATCACATTAATATCAAGGTCAAGTTCTGTTTTAGGTATGATTGCACCATTTTTGACAGAGTTATGCCCCTTGGACTTAGAAAAATTCCAATTATTTGCAGTTTCCGTTCATTTTCTTCACAACCGTTGCACATGCTGAGACGAAATTTAGTATACAGATTTATCAGATGAATATCTAGGTCAAGTTCTGTTTTGGGTACAATCGTTCCATTTTTGACAGAGTTTTGCCCCTTGGACTTGGAAAAATTCCAATTTGGGGGGAGGGGGGCATAAGTGTTTTACAAACATCTCTTGTTATTGTACTATTTACTAAAAATGTACGACTTTTTAGGCGAAATTCTGTTTTATTAAAATTTAAAATCTTCAAAATATGACAATTTTTAGTTAGTTTAAATTTTTAGTTAATTTAAACTACATTTAGTGAAAGTAAATGTAACTTTACTACTTTGAACCATTAAAATTGTGAGGATGGAAATATTGGAAATATTGGTTACTATGATGCTACTTTCTTGCAAGAGTGGTATGTCCTTTTCTTAAACAATATTTTTTCATGTAGTGGGATTGGACAGCATGCACTGCCTAAATAAGTCCTCTCCATATATTGAAATGTTAACAGATTAGTGATTAAAATGACTTGCAAACCACCATGGTATTGATTTTAGACATTCGTTTTTTTCAGAAACAAAAAAAATTAGGACACATTCCCTCATATATTTATTCAGTATATATGTTTTTCAGTATATCATGTAACACTCAATGTACACCAGTTTGACATTTTTGTAGCACCCAGAAAATAGATGCCTACTCTTCATCAATGTATATTCAAAATCTTGTGATGTATATTCAATAATCTTGTGATGTATTTTCAATATCTTGTGGTGTATATTTGATAATCGTATGATGCATGTTCTATAATCTTGTTATGTACAGTGTATGTTCTATAATCTTGTGATGTATTTGCAATATCTTGTGATGTATGTGATGCATACGTAGATCAATTGGGCTTTTAAACAAAGAAAAGAGACATAAGATATGGAGTATGTATGCAGATATATTGAGGAAGATGTAAATGTAATTAATAGAGTGAAGTCCTCAAATCTTCGACTCTCCTTTTCACAGCGTTCTGGTTTAGTTCTACTTTCACTTTTTAGACCCATGAAAAAAGTCCTTACAAAGGTTATCAAAATAAATCAAATATTACCCACAATGCAATTATTGCATATACATCACAAGATTATAGAACATACATCACAAGATTATAGAACATGCATAACAAGATTTTGCACATACATCAAAAGATTATAAAACATACATCACAAGATTTTGCATATGCATCACAAGATTTTGAATATTCATCACAGGATTTTGAAAATACATCAAAAGATTTTGCATATATATCACAAGATATTGCAAATACATTACAAGATTATTGAATATACATCACAAGATATTGCATATACATCACAAAATTATAGAACATACATCACAAGATTTTGAATATACATAACAAGATATTGAACATACATCATAAGATTATCGAATATACATCACAAGATTTTGCTTATACATCACAAGATTTTGAATATACATCACAAGATTTTGCATATCACAAGATTTTGAATATACATCACTAGATTTTGAATATACATCACAAGATTTAGAACATACATCACAAGATTTTGAATCTACATCACAAGATTTTGCATATACATCACAAGGTTTTGAACATATATGTACATCACAAGATTTAGAACATAAATCACAAGATTTTGAATATACATCACAAGATTTTGAATATACATCACAAGATTTTGAATATACATCAAAAGATTATCGAATATACCTCACAAGATTATCAAATAAAGCAACATTTTACACACCATAGATGAATCAAACAAAATATGGATACCTGGATTGGTATTCACTATTGTTATGTATATTTAAGATGCCCAACCTTTTGACCTATTTTGCTTGTAAATGATGCGAATAATAAATTTCTAATAAATTTTATAAGAATTGATTTTTGTAAACTTGCTTTGATGTTCAAAATTCAACCCTTCTGCAAACATCCTTATTAATCCAGGCAATATTTTGTTACGTAAAATCAAATTATTGTGAAAGTTTGGAAGAAAATTTATGTAATGTTAAACTTAATTATTTTACTCATATAAATATAATTAAGGTGGTTATTCTCAGGATTTTTGACAAAAGTTTGTATCATCTGTCCTTAATTGGCTAAATTACAATAGAACTGAAATAACTATCTTCTTTGATATTCCTTAAATTTAAAAATTATGTCCGTTATGCACGCACGCACCCTCCCACCCACACACAAGCTTGTTACAATATATCCCCTTCAACTTTGTTGCGAAGGAATAATAATAAGTAATGAAATACCATTTACACGTAGATCAGTGCTGTTGGTAATGAGAGCATGTGATAAAAAAAAAAGAAAGTTGTTAAACAGACGAGATTAATCAGGAAGTCACAGCATTGTAAAATGAGTAGGCTTTTTTAAAACGGAAATAATCCTTGAAATAGTAATACACATTTCAAAAGGAAGTTAATATATCGTAGAAACGTAATAAGGAAGTCATAATTAATATATATAGTAGCAGTGTACACACAATAATATACATGTATACTATTCAAGTACATGTCTAATAATAAAATACCGTACTCTCCTGTAATCGCTTTAATACACTTATATTATAATTGCAATGATATATTTGGAAAACTTGATTAAAAATTTGCATCCACGTAAACATTTTTAGCAAACTGTCAATAAAAATATGACATGTTCATTATGTTCATAGACATGCCCCTGCTGTATGGGTATTCCCTTAAAGAGTTGTCAACAAAGATTTTGTATTCTCGCCATCGCAGCCGTTTGTATTTGGTGAAGTGGAAATTGTCTGAGCGATTGTTGAAAGGAGAAGAGAGCAGCTTGGCGGTTCCCAGCAATCTGTTGACAGATGCCCAAAATCTGCCATGAAATATCCCTGTGTATTTCGGGTACATACGCATCTAGGTCATTGTGGAGTAACACTTCGAGGTTGTCTACAGCTTCTTGCGTCCTTTCCATGCTTTCGTGGTTAACGTGTATACAGCAGAAGAATTCTAGCATGTGTAAGACTACATAAGGCGGGATACGTAATGCGTGTATAACCTTATTTTCGGAACATGATTCTTGTTCAATCTGTAATTCATCGATGTAATGAATTCTATTATCAAACAAGATATCCCATACTACCGCCTTCCTCATTTTCGAAGAGAAAGATTTCCCCCCTACAGCTTCAATATATTTTTCTGTATTCACATGTGCTTTGTATAACAGATGTGGCTGAGCTAACTTTATCTTTGCCATCTCTATGATAGTTAAAGCCTCTTTGTACCTTAACGTCTTGTAATAGTATACAGCAATGTACAGCATGTCAGATATCCAACCAAATTTGATTGCTAGATTTAGCATATGACGGGACATTTTGTCTCCAAGATACATGACTTTATTTACTTTCATACGTCTAACAGTGTTCAGACTGTAAATGTACGTAGAGTACATGTTGTGTAGTATGAAGGCAGTGTCTTTCAGGATGGAGGCTGTAAAATTCTGTAACATGGGGACTTGGTACTTTGTCAGAGGTAAATTAACTAGATGTTCTATCACATATAGAGCCTTCATACAGCGGTAAAAATCTGGTGTACCTGGTGTTTTATACTGATACATTTCATGAAAAAGCGTTACATCAAAATTGGCCTCAGACATTAAACCATTATCATCTGTACAAATAGACAGCATGGGATTGTAAAGGACATTTTCAATATATGGTCTTATGGAATGACTGTGTAGTAGGCACGAAAAGCCCTTTTTATATAATGTATACAATTGAAGGAAAAGCTTTCTTTGAGATGCACCATGTATATTTGCCAAAAACATATTGTTTTGTGGAATGAAGAAGTTAGGACACACTCCCTCATACACCCATTTAAGAATGAGTTTAAAACTGACCCAGAAACACTCGAGGAGATTTTGTGGATTCCAGTAAGGTACAATGCCTTGCTGAAGCACCCAGAAAATAGCAGTTTTCATGTGATAAGAACACAGTAATTTGCTATCATCATCTTGTTCTCTGTTTATCACTTCTTTCAAGAACAGTTTTAATAACCCGTAAACTAGAAATTGGTAGTGGTTCATTGCATAAACGAGTTTTTGTTCTGCTGAAGAGAAAGATATTCTCCATTCATCATTTTCATGTTTTCCTAGTTTGTGTCTTAATGGAACAAGGTGACACCCATTTTTGACTGCATCATGAACAATATGAAGACTTGGCCACGAATGGCATCTGTCAATCCATGAGGAGGCAGACGGAGGCCAAAAATCACAGGCGAAGCATGCAGCTGTGTCGTATTCCATAACGCCACTCACATTTCCACTACCACACGGTCCATGTACAATAGAATTAGGCATTATTGCTGAGCACTTTAACTTTCGGTACAGATAACTAGATATATAAAATCTGTCATTCATTGTAAAAAGAGATCCTATAACGTCTGTGTCTGCCATGGGTGTCAGTAGCCAAAGTAAAGTGTATCCTGGGGGACTATCTGAGGAATCTGAGACAAAAACCTCTGAATACTTGCTCAAACTGTAAAACTGAAATAAATCCCAGATCACTTTCTCGTCAGGTAACCAGTACATGCCGTCTAAATCTGACCCCTTAAGTCGAAACCCTTCTCTGCGACTTCCACTGCACATCATTCTATTCTCGTTTCGTCTTCTTATGCAATTTGTCATTGTCCCTTTTATGTCTACCACACCTCTCCTCATGTTCACCTGTTCGGAAGTTCCCACTTCACGACATAGTCCCTCAAACAAAGACTCTGATATATGTAGTACATGCGTCTCACTAAAACAAACCAGAAAAATAAAACACACCATTTAACTTGACTGCACATACATGTAAGATCTAAAACAAGAAAAGAAAGTTTATGTAAAATACTAATGTTAAACAAAATTTTCTAATACTTACACTTGTGATGTACTGGAATCCATTTTGTATTATCTGATTCGTGGAAAGTTTAATATCTATTATTAGCACAGTTAAATCCCACTGCATTCCGCCTTAAGTATTCAGGTAATGATGCACCCCTGATTTACATGATACATAATTAGAATCAAGTGCAAGCAATTATACCCTAGGCCTACTCGAATGGCGTTCATATCACTAGGATTTAAGTGTCCTGTTATAATGTTCATTATAAAAATGGATTTGACAGCAAAACAAGAGACCGATGGGCCAGATCGCTCACTTGAGCTCACTGACTAGGAAGATGCAGAGAGTGGTTTAGTGTTGAAAAGTTTTTAAGGCGGTGGGGGGGGGGGGGGGGCTTGAAATTAACACTACCTAAGGATGCTTTAATATCAATATATATGTATTACTAACCATGGCTCTGCTCTTTTTAAAGAGAAGAATTTTAAAAATTTTCCCCTATGTATTCGTATGTAAGGTACAATGCCTTGCTGAAGCACCCGAAAATACCGTATATCCGGTTTTTTCGCGATGATCTATTTTTCGCATTTTTTGCGACCATTTTTAATTCGCAAAATATAAAACAAGCAGAAATTACGTCAGCTATGATGCGACATAAAAAAAAATAACCATTTTAAACACGAAAATCTTCAATCGTAAAAAATAACTTACGAAATATAAACTGTCCTAATCTACCCCTTTTTTGCAAAATTTCCAACACGCGAAAAAAAAAACGGATATACGGTAGCAGTTTTCATGTGATAAGAACACAGTAATTCGCTATCATCATCTTGTTCTCTGTTTATCACTTCTTTCAAGAACAGTTTTAATAACCCGTAAACTAGAAATTGGCAGTGGTTCATTGCATAAACGAGTTTTTGCTCTGCTGAAGAGAAAGATATTCTCCATTCATCATTTTCATGTTTTCCTAGTTTGTGTCCCATTTGTGACTGCATCATGAACAATATGAAGACTTGGCCACGAATGGCATCTGTCAATCTACGAGAAGGCAGACGGAGGCCAAAAATAACAGGCGAAGCATTAAGCTGTGTTGTAACACTAGGATTTAGTTGTCCTGCTATACATTCTAATGTTCATTATATAAATTGATTTGACTGCAAAACAAGAGACCCATGGTCCAGATCACTCGCTTGAGCACACTGAATAGGAAGATGCAGAGAGTAGTTTAGTGTTGAAAAGTTTTGAAGGGGGGGGGGGGCAAACTTTAAATTAACACTACCTCAGGATGCTTCAATATCAATATTTATTACTAACCATGGCTTTGCTTTTCTTAAACAGTAGAATTTTAAAAATTTTCCCCTATGTAAAACTTATTGCTCATTGTGGCACCAACCTACACACCCTAATTTTGAACAAATTGAAATCTACACTACCTGGAAATGCTTCTACAGTAATATGACATTTCATGGCATTTCTGTTCTTGAGCAGCATTTTTTTTTTCAAGATGATTCCTGCATGTTCTTATTCAAAGCTTTTATACTCTGTTATGCCCCAAACCCCTGATGTCGTAATTTGAACAAACTTGATCATCCACGGTCGTTTCTGTATAAATATGACTAATAATAGCTTAGTTGCTGTTGAGAAGGATTTCAAAGATATTTCATACGAAACGTGTATGATCATATTCTTACTAGGGATACATAAGTTTTCCTTTTACTCTGTCTGAGTTAATGATTGGAATACCTGTATACATCTAGGTGGTTTATGATGGATCAGGTGGATCCTCCTTCAATGGTTGTTTCGGCATTGTCCACTACAACCTCCAGAGGTACGTGCGCCGACTGGGTTGATCAAGTCCTAGCCAATTGTAAAGTATATACAATAAAATATGTTCAAATCAAATCAAGTCTCAGCCCGGAATCACTCAGCTCTCCGCCTTCACTGCAACACAATAAATGTTCATTCTCAAGCAAACACACACAGAGTCTTAGTGTTGCACTTTCCACTGTTCTTCTCTTTTCTTCCATATCCAAACGGATTCAATTTCTGCCTCTCTGCCCAGGGGTCCAATGAGTTGCTGTCTCTCAGAGCCTGTTACACCGACAATCCGCAAGGCCCTCCACATAGATTGCCTTACAAATCTACGGCATCCAACTTCCATTGGGAGACAACAAATCTCCAGCCCCGTTGTTGACAGTCTGCCACCAAATTCTGGTATTATTCATTTTTCGGTCATGGCCATGGGCTTTTTCAATTCTGTCCTCCCACGATATTGCGAGTTCCAGCATGATACCAAGCGGTGCTGGAAGAGACCAAATAACAATAAATAATATCTGGTCTGTGATTGGTAGATGCTCTTTCCAGCGGAAACTGCATACAGCCGTTGAGATATCTGCTTGCATTTCCCAGTCACTGGCGTTCCCTTACAGTCCACCTCTTTCCACTCCCTCACGACTATGTTCACCAGCCTTTTCAAAGTTTACAAACTTCAAGCCTTCCTTGGTCTTCCAAGTTTTCTTCCTTGCTTTTCCAGCACATCTGCAACAAGAGATAGAACTTTGTCTTGTCTCCATATATATCTCTCATTTGTTACGGCTACTGAACATGAAGGCAGGATATGTTTTAGGTTGGCTGGTCTACAACAAAGATTGCAGTTTGGGTCCTCCCTCATACCCTTAGTTGTCAAATTGGTTGGGATTTGCAGCATGCCGTAAACCGACTTATGCTGAAACTGCAGTCTCTGGGGACCTGTTATCCAGATCTCGTTCCAAGATAACTTCTTCTGTCAGGCTCCTTCTCAGTTTAACCTGCTTCCCTGTTTCTTCATACTAAATGCCTTCACCATCCTTGTGTGCTCTTCCATTTTGCGCACTTCTTTTTGCACAAGTTGCCTCTTCTCCACTTCTGATGATTTACCTCATCTTGTTGATGGTATTATTCCTATTCCCTGCCTGCCTACTGTCACACTTCCCACAATGTCAGTTTGTCTCAGGCGTGACTGTCTCTTGCACTATCTTCTTTGCTGTCCACTTTCTGCCCGTCTTGATTTTGACTCTTGCCCCCCATACCTTGGAATCATTAATGTCACGTAACACCAGAAACTGCTTGACCTTGGTCACCTTGATTTCTTCAACTATTGACGTCACTGGTAATTGCAGCTTTCTTCCTGTGCTGTATAAACCTATGCTGATAAAGCTTCTGGGAACCGCGAGTCATCTTGTAAGGTACCCACTGATCCGTCGCTCCATCGATTCAACTGCAGTCATTGGCACATCGTACACAAGTAGAGGCCAAAGAGTTCGTGGAAGTACGCCGTGCCGGTATATCCATGCTTTGTATTTTACTGGCAAGGCACTTTTGTCTATAGTGTTCCTCCAGTTCTGCAGTTGATTACTAGTGTCACTAATATTCTGTTTATCACTCTATGAATCATCAAAGAACTTTTCCCGGCACTTGACCGGTTTTCTGAGACTGATGGAATAATCTCTTCTCCAACACTGAACTTCTCTCCTGTGACTGTCCCCTTTCTCAATACAAGGCTCCTAGATTTTGTTGGTTTGATCTTCATACGGGCCCAACTGATCATCTGTCTCCTTCAAGGTCCATTTTGCCTCTATGATGGTCTTTGTGTTTATTGTCATATATTCTATGAACGATCGGGCAGGCGGCTGTCTCACGCCTGACTTCATCCATGGATCTATGTTATCTTCTTCACTGACTTAACTATCAAATTCATGGCTGCAGAGAACAGAATTACTGATACTGTACAACCTGTGACACCCCATCTTCTAGGCACTGCCACGATGTTGTGAAGTCCTGGTTTGTGAACCGTAATTGAAGTCTGTCAAAGTAACTCTTAAGCAGTATATGTATCCTATCTGGTACACTGTATATGGTAGCGCTGTACTGTAAGTTGGACTAACATATGGGACAAGGAACCATAAGCATTGGCTAGACCCAACCATATTACTGCCAGTTTTCCTTTCATCTCATTCGCTTCCCGTATAATCTCTGTTAGAACACGTGTATGCTCTGTACACCCCGAGTCTCCTGGCACTCCTCCTTTCCGCAATGCCATGTCTATGTACTTGTTAGACAGCATATACATGCACGTTGTCATTCTCTTGGCCAAAATAGCCAGGAAAAATTTCCCTTCGATGTTCAACAGGGAAATGGTACAGATCTGTTTAAGTGACTTTGATTTTTCCTCCTTTGCAATGAAGTATCCCTCTGCTTGGTACCAACTGTCAGCTAACTGCCCCTCCTCCAGACAACTCACAGATGTTTCCATGAGCGTTGGGTTAATCTCGGACAGTTCTTGTAAACTTTATATGGGATTCCGTTTGGTCGTGATAATAAAGCTGTTCTAGCCTTCTTGATGATATCTTTGACTTCTCGCAGCTTTGGATCCTTTTCGTCGAACAAATGGTCTGGCTTGTCAGGCTGCATCAGCTTCTCAAACTGTCTTAACTCTTAGATTTCCCCTCGGATCCCTGTGCATATCCTTCAAATATTATTCGACTTCCTTTCTTCCCGCTGTTAGCTTTCCTGGTTCTTGGCTGCCTAAAAGTCTTGATATAAATTGGAATGGGTTGGCTGTAAATGGCGCTCCTGCTCTTGCTTGCTCCTTCCTCCTCCTCCTGCTTCTTTCTGTCCTTCTCATGATCTTTAACTTCTTTCTAATGTTCTTCCTTTACTCAGCCAAAGTAGGTCGTCCCCCTCCTCTGATGTTCTAAACCGTTTTGCCAGCTGTCGCAGTTCTCGTCTCAGTTTGGTCATCTCGCTTTGTCTTCTGTTTTTATTCACAACTCCTCCTGATTGCTGCTTTTCCTCCTTTCCAAATCTATCCAATCCTACGTTGTACATTATCGTACACAATAAATTCAATCTTTTTGTCTATTCCTTCTGCCAATGATGCGTTTAAGATTGTATCTACATCTTTGTCAAACCTCTCCCATTCTTCCTTCTTTCTGCTAGCTGGCCACTTGATCTTTACTTCCTTTCTTATTCTACCTGCTACCTTCTGGACTCTATTGTCTGCTCTTCTGGTGTTACCCCTTCCCCTCTCCCTCACCGACTGGCGCCTAAACGCTGTGGTTAGATTCTTGAAACACCTCTTCCTCCGTCTCACCAAGTTGCCTTGTGCGTTGCATCGCTGAATCGGAGCACATCCCATCTTTCCCATGAGTATTTTCAGCCGCCTTTCATTCTTAAAGGTCTTTCCACGATACATGTGGAATGATTATTAATATGATTGAGACTGCTCTGTCATAGGGATATCACAGTACTTAAATTTTTTCCCATCTATAGATGGGGACTAGGTAAGGTACTACTTACACCGTGTTTCTCCCCTAGGTTCCCATAGATAGATAAGAACCAGTTGCCTTAATATTCTTCAGATTACTAGTAACCACACCCAGAACTTAACATTAATTACTTATGCTTAAATATTCTTCAGATTAACCACACTCAGAACTTAACATTAATTCCCCGGAATATTTGCCACTGATGTTTATAACTTTTTTCCTTTTATTTACCTCTTACCCATGAGGTTTTCCATCCTCTGAAATGTCCATCACATGCATACTCTGATATGATTATAGGCATTTTACAGTAGAAAAGGATTTACCAAGAGAAAGTTTCAAATATGTAATTAACTAAGCAGTAAATACTTAAATAAGATTGCCTTGAAGTGTATGGTGCAATTTTTAAAAAATAAATAAAAAGAATATCAATAAATACTGTAGTGGAAAAATTCATCAAAACACAGAAATAGAAATTCAAGATCATAAAAAATTAGGACACACCCCACCCTTACATACTAATAGTAATAAATGGGTAATATGCCTAAACATACTGAGTACTAAACACCTACACAACTGTTATGTATTCAATTTCATTAAGTCATTTGTTGTTTTTTTTTTGGATAGAAATATCTCTATATATTTATACCAATTATATTCATAAAATTAAACTTGACGATGGGTTGTCACTTATTTAGAATAATCTAACTGTGTCTCGGGACAAGCCCTGACCCCAGTTAGAATGCCTCCCTTACACTCGCAATGCACCAAAAAAAATGCAGAGTGGGAATTGCCCCGAAACGATTTTGAAGAGTACAAAAGGATTTGCACTAAAAATAACTACTAAAGCAAACCTTTTTAAAGTTGTGCATGCCTTTAACCTAAAGTAGATAATCCACCTAAAGATGAAAATTCAACTTATGTTTTCATTTTCTCGCTTCATATTTACCATATTGACATTTGGAACTAGTATGCGCTGAGTTAGATTTATCTCCCTTTTTCTTTCCGATATATGTATATATATATATATATATATATATATATATATATATATATATATATATATATATATATATATATATATATATATATATATATATACTCAACAACAAAAAAAGAAACGCATATCCAGATTAAACATGAAAATCTAATTTTTCAGTTTAAACCCTATTTTTTTACAGTGATTTTAGAGTGTGTTATGATAAAAATCAAAACATACCCTATGTTGCGAATTGAAAAGTTAAGGTATGTCACTCGTCAACTCTTTAGAAAAGTTCACGCAAAACCTCTTACTCAAAAACTATTTATTAAAATTCAATTTTTATGACATTTTAAAATTCAACAATGTCAATTTTTTAACAATCAACGAAAAAACTGCTCAAAAATCTACAAGGAAGCCAGATTTATGAGGGACTTTTTTTTTGGTGGAAGGATATTTAGCAGAAAATTCTGCAAATCTGCACATCTATTAGATTTAACATCGTGGAACTTTAGCCTCACATACTTTTACTCGGAGAATATTTTCCGTTAGGATATTGCTAGGAATATTTTATATAGGTCTTAAGTTATGTTTTTAGAACATGTTTTACACCTTTCCTCAAAAAACTTTGCCAAAATATGATTTACACCATTTTTCGCCTGAAAATCACATATTTTGACCAATATTTCAAAATTAACATCACTGACCCCAACTTTTTCTTTCATTATTTTAAACTACTCAATACTTGTGACTGATCAGCACTAAAATCGTAAAAAGTTTGATATAGGAAAATGTTGTATTGCTTATTCAGTTTTTAATACCCCCAATCATGTTACTTTTTATTGCAAAAAGGTCACACAAAAAATGCACGCGTGCGCATTAATTTGCTAGATTTTTTCAATGATAAATATTATTCAAACTATTCCACGTAAAATAAGATTATATTTATTGCTATTGTTGCATCTGATAAAATTTAATAAAGTTTAAAGTAATTAACCAAAATGTTAAAATTTAAGTGCAAAAAGGTCAACTTAATTGTACCGTAGATCAGTAAGATGCACACTGACCCCCTATTTTCTCTGCGATTTTGAGTTACACTGTATGAGTACTTATCAAAAAATATACTTCTCAAAAAATCCTTGATTTAACAAATGTCACGAGTGACATACCTTAAGTTGATGTCATTTTCATCCCCCCCCCCCCAAATTCTAGGGGCATACTAGCTCCTTTCAGTCTCTTGCGAACAATTTGTGCACTTTTATGCTGATTTCTTCAACCAGCAATTGTAGCGGCATTTTGTGCGGCAGTTCTCAATCGATTGCTGGAAGGGGGGGGGGGAGGTAGGGTCTGACGGTCCTGTCTGGGTGTGATAACCCGCGGAAGGCCAGTTCTTGGTCTGTAATCCGTGTTCTTAGCTGGTGGAGACGTACGTTTAACCGCTGCAAAGCCGATTGATGTACACTAAATGCAGTTGCATCCTCCTGTTGCGTAGCTCCGGTTATCATCATAGTTAGCCCGTGTTGCGTTCATCTTTGTTAAGGCGTGACATTGCAGCATCAACATTGTTATCAAATCTTAAAT